GTTTAGTCGGCTTGTTGGTTGGGTTGGGGCATCTCTTTGCTCAGTGGTCTTCTTGGCCATACTGGAAGCAGGGTCCCAGAGGCTCATGACCTCTGGACTGGTCTTTGGTGTGATGAGACCCCTGTCCTTCCAGCCGCAGGGCCGCCGCAAAGGCTTGGGTTCGGGACACTGTCCTCCTCTCATGTTCTTTATCACAGGTATTAAAGATTTTAAAGGCCATGGTTACTAGGTCACGGAGTGGAGTTTGGGGTTCCTTTTCTGTCTTTTTAACTTACGTCTTATGTAAATAATACTTGTTCTGGTGAAATCTAGTTCTTTACTAGTTTAGGAGTAATAAGCAGTGACTATAAATGACAAAAGACTTACAAATGACAATGATTAAAGACCTGATGAGAGCTTACTGTAAGACAGTTGACATAAGGAAATTTGGATATTTTTCTAACACAAAACATTCAGTAACAAAGTTTAGCTTCATTCCCCTTGATAGTGCCTTCTGGGCAATTCAGCAGGTAAGTTTACATCAGATAAATAAGCTAAATTGGCTAAATACTTTCTCTAATGAGGAAAAAAAGCCAAATTGGCCAAACACTTTCTCTAATGAGAAAAAATTCTTCTGACATGTTCCAGGGGCCTTCTGGAAAATATCAAAGTTAACTAGAGGTAAAAGCACCTTTTTGAATTTGATTTTGGGAAGTTGTTAAAAGTTTTTTTTAAGGCATTTGTTTAAATAGAATCATAAGTTACTATGAAACAATACTTATCTATTTAACTAGAATGACAATAAAAGATTTTAAAGGCAAATACAGAAGGTTACACAGTTATTAGCAAAGCTTAGCTTTTAGTTTTTTCATATTAAGATCTCATTATCTTAAATATTCAGACAACTCATTGAGACTTTAAGACTTTAAGAGAAACTGTTTTGATAAAACAATTAGAGAACCCTCTGCAATCTTTCACTATTAAGAGCAGACTAACAGTTAAGAAAACTTTGTTTTTTCATTCAGTGTTCTCCTTTTTTAAATAAATTGCTGTACTTTATAACAATTACTTTCTTTTGCCCTCAGCAAAACGAATTTACATTCTTTATACTTTCTCTTATTAAAACACACACCCTTTTAGTGAGTAGAGATGTTTTCTTCTTAAATAGCTTTAATTAGACCTCAAAAGTATTAGGCACTTTAATTTTCAGTGAACACTGAGAAGTGGGCTATTGTAAACCATTGCACTAGCATTCTTTAGATTAACAAATTCATGAACACACTTTATAATTCTTGACACCATGTGCTTTACAGCATAATCTCAGCACAAAATATGTCTGCTTAACTTAGCAAAACTTTAAAATTCTAGATCACTACAAAAATTTTCAGGCTGCAGGCAGGCACACACACTGCAATACACAATCACTAAGATGTGCACTTGCTACGCCTAGCTCACCCACTCCCAACACTATGCCAGACCACTTACAAAACAGTGGATGTGGGGAGGGGTGTCGGGTTGGGATAGAAAGGAGGCAGGTCTGTGCTGAGAGGAGTCTTATCCGTGGCTTCCAGAACCAGAGGGCGGAAGGGGTGTGCTCCTGTGGGGGAAGAGGGCGGTGAAGGCGGAAGGAGAGGGGGAGGGGGTGGTGCAGCCACCGGAAGAGGAGAGGAGCAGGAAGACAGCATGGTTGAGAATGTAGGACTTTAAGATGGCAGCAACATGGGGAGGACAAAGAACTTAAAGATGGTGGCGGGGAGGGGTGGGCGGTAGCGAGCTGAGAGAGGTGGGAGACCAAGGTCCTCCGGCCGATCTGAAAAGGAAGAAGGACTGGGCAGAGTAAGAGGCTGACAATCTTTAACTGGAGATCAGGCCAGGGGAACCTGAGTCGTTGAACACTTAACATAAAGGTTTGGGCAGGAGCCCAAAGTCCAAAAAGCCTGCACATACGGGATTTCACCCCACTTTCCACTCCGGTGGCAATAATTAGTCAAGTTGGTGAGGAGGCCAAAATCGCAAGTTCCCTCGGGGCCAGCGAGATTGGTTGTCCAAGGGATACTGAGGCCCAGTCTCAGAGCAAAGAAAGACTAGCTTCTATTTGCAAACTTCCCGGGACAAATATAGAAGTAGCCAAATTAAAAATAAGACACCGCAACGGGGTCTGAGCCTCTACTTTTGAGGGCTGGTTCTCCATTTCTGTGCCACTCCCCAACTAATCCCGCTGAGAGGAGCACCCAGCGTCCCACGTGCACCAAGTCAGGGTAGACAGCCTGGGAGCCTGGGTGAGGCACGTCTCCCACACCACAGGGCCAGGGGCGGGCCGGATGCCCCAACCTGGACGTAGCTACAATTTCGGACAGACCAGGTGAAAACGGATTAGGAAGGGAAACAGACTGGGGGAAACTGAGGGACTCACCAGAAAATAGTCCGTGCAGCAGAGAGCAGGCTGAGGTCCCGGGTTGGGGAAGGAGGGGGCAGGGCCGCCGGTGGCCGGGAGACCCGCGCTCACGCTCCTTCCCGGGTTTCGGCACCAAATGTAAGATAAATTGTAACCGAAATAAGCAGGCGATGAGAGGCAACAAAGGGCCAGGCAGTTTATTTGAGCGCAATCCTGGGCGAGGTTCACCAGTCTGCACCGGGCAGGCTGGAGAAGTCGCGCGCAACTAGACAGGCGGGGAGTTTTTAAAGAAGGCAGGGGGAGGCAGAGCATAGATTTACAGCGGCGCGAGGATTGTCTAGCCTAAGGCATGCTTTTCAGGTTGGGAGGGGGCAGCAGCCGGGGACTTTGGCACGTCATCAGTGTCTAACGTGCTCACCCCTCCCTCCGGTGCCTCCAACCTTACATAGACTTTATCATCTTATGTTTATGGAAGACAGTTTATTATTTCTGCTTTTGTCTGATAAAAGGCTATTTATTCTATCTTTTATTTTCACTGTCTGTTTTTCTTTGTTCCTAAACCTGATTTGGGATATTTAAGAGCATAGAAATATCTTTTATGCTTTGCTCATTGTTAAAAGTTTGAAGCCCAGAAAGACCTCACATACTTACCTCTGCGTTCTCCCCCTACTTCTGCCCCTGCCCCCACCCCAGCCCCCACCCCCGCTCTGCACACCTTTTTCTCACAATCCCCTGGACTTGACTGTTCTTCCTTATAACACTAAGTGGTGCCCTCACTACATGTTCAAATTGATTGAAAATAAACTAAGTTTTGTGAAAATTGAATCAAGTGCCTATTCCTTTAATTTGGTTTGGGAGTCTGATTTCTGTTGCATAACTGATTTCCAAATGTCTAAAAATTTTGAATTTTTAAACGATTGTCCCACACCCAAGCTGTAGTTCATTGCTGAGCTCTGTAGAATTTGGTTCTTCCTAATATGCTCATTTGTAAACTCTTTTTTATAAAAGTAGTCTCTTGTTTTTTTTTTCTTTGTACTTTTTTTTCTTGTATTTTTTCTTGTGTGTCAGCAGGGAACTGATTAGTATTGATAGAAGGGGGAAATGTGTTTAGTGGCTCTAAGAAAATACGATAACACCTTGGTTCAGTTACTATGGGCCACTGCATGTCACACTCCCCTGAAATCCCTGGGTTTTGACCGAGGTGTCCCCTGATGCTTACCAGCCAAAATAATCTCTGGGCTCTCGGAATAAAAGCCTAGTAGCTAACTACTGTAGCTGTACTGGGACAAGTTAAACATGCTAATTTTGCTTTTTATGTTGGTGTTCAAAACAAATACATCATGAAGTACTGAGCTTGGACCTGTGTTGAACCACCTAGAAAGCTGACTGAAGAATAAATTGAAAGGGTATCTCACCACAACCCTCCTTACCCAGGACGACTCAGGAGACACAGGCCCATGCAAGAGATTTTATTATCTGAAAGAGGAAGTGTCTGCGCCTGGAGAGAGAGAGAGAGAGTCAGAGAGAGAGAGGGAGCAACGGGACAGAGAGACAGAGAGAGCAGCAGCGTGGTGCAGAGTTATGCCTTTTATTGTGGCGGATCCACTGGACCTGTTGCCTTGGAGGAGGGTCAGGATGTTTAGAGAGAAGGTGGGGCAAGCCCCAGGCATCAGGCATCATTCTCACCAGCTTATGTGCTTGGGACCATGGGGTAAATGGAGGATAAATTACTATATTCTTACAAAAATAACTGACCACCCGAAGGAAGAAGTTCTTTCCTTTGGGGGACCGTATGAATTTCATACAAATGAGGCAGCATCTTGTTCCTAAAGTCAGAGATCTCAATTTTTGATTCTGACATTCATTGTCAAATAATCTAACCATCAATAATCTAACATGTCTCTGGTGTTCCTGTGTGTTGAAATAATTTCACTTACTCATTCAAGAAATAACTATTAAGCATCTGTTTTTTTATCAGTCACTGCACGTAAGAGGGTGTAGTAGTAAACAACTACACGGCCCTTCCTCTCGTGTTAGTTACACCCTGGTAGGGGAAAAAGCATTAAGTGATTAATGTCACACTTAATTGTTTTGTTGAAAACGATTACCAGTGCTGTGAAGGGAAAATACAGGATGCCATGAAAACAAAATGGAATCTAGTCACTGTAGTGTGGGGCATTAGGGAAGCTAACCTACGAGGCCTTGTTTTGGGGATTTGGATCTTTATCCTGAGAGCAGTGGCAACTCATCACAAGGCTGGTGCGGGGCATTTGGAAAAGGCCGTAGGTGATCAGACTTTCATGCTGGAGAGTTCCTGCTCTTGTACGGAGAATGGCTTAAAGGCATCCCAGAACTGGTGCAGTGAGGAGATACTTCAGTAGTACAGCTGAGGTGAGGAGGAGCTGGAAGCAGTTACGTTAATGGACTCAAGAAGTATTTAGGAAGTAAAATTAACTTAGTCCTACAAAACTGTTAGGAATAACATTTTATAAGACATGAAATAATTTTCAGGAAAATTGATTTCTTGTGTTAAAAATGAGTGGTTTTAATGTAGTCCTTTATTATTGTCGGTAAAAATCTTGCCTAAAAAAGTACAGAATTACATATTTCTTAACTCTCCTATTAGTGACGAAGACTTTAAATGAGAAAAGATCAGCCAAATCATCTGAAATGTCTCCAGTACCTGTGAGGTCAGCTGGCCAGACAGCCAAAGCTCATTTGCATCAGCCCCACAGGGTAAGCCATGGACTTCAGGTGCCTGCCGTTAACTTGCATCCCATCAGGAAAAGGGGACAAGCGAAGGACCCTGCCACACTGAGTGAGTATTCACACTAGTACTGCATTTATTTCATTGACATTTCCAGAGCAGTTCAAATGAAAAATAATTACTAACTGTAAATGCTCAGATTAGCTATAATAGTTTGTGTAATATAATCATTCATGAATCAAAAAGGATTTCATTTTGCCTGAATTTGATGACAAATACTTTAAATGCTGATTATCATCATCAAGAGAACTTAATAGCAATACAACTGGGTAACTAAGGGTTTACTGTCTTCAAAAATTAATCAATTACCTAATGCAAATGCAGCCTATGAGAATGAAGTTGTTTACTCTAAAAATGACTATATGTTGGTTTTTCACTAATGTCCACTTCTAAAAACCTAGTTAGACAAAACTGTGTACATTATATTATATATAGACCACACTTGTCCTCTGTTAGGCCATGTCGATAGTACCCAGATTATTTTTATTTGGAGTTTTATCAGTATCATCGTAGTAGTGTTCAGAAGGGAAGATAGATTAGAGTTGCCTCCCAGCATTATTATTTAATCTGTGCTGCCCACAACTGGAGCCATCTGTGTACCAAGCATCTTCAGGTATAGGGGTTTTTCCCTCCTGATAAGGACTCTTGGCTACCAGTGGCTCCAAAGCAAGTTCTTCCTGCTTTCCACTGGTATACGTCACTGGCCCCAATAAGCGTTGGAGTTCACCACTTAAGGGGCTAGTGGAGAGGGTGCTGTGGTTCTGTAAGCACCCCATTTGGCCAGTGTAGACATCTGTACCACACCACTCCATGACCTTTGGGTCCAGTCTCGCACACACCCCACAATGGGACAGGTGGTTGGTTATTACCTTGGTCAGAGTTGTTCCAGTGATGGGCTCTTCAGCCAGCAAGATATGGTATACAGCAGCCAGTGGCTTCTCTGTCAAGGTATAGCAGACCTCTGCTCCTTTCCACAGTTGCAACCAGATTCTGATATATGGGCCGGTCCGTTCAAGCTGCTACCAAAGGCCCCATTCATAGCCATTTTGGTTACATGAGCATCTAGCTCACAGGGCCTCAATGGGCCCACTATGCTCAAGACTTGCACAGCCTTGACTTCTCACTCATCAGCAGTAAAGGCAAATATATGCACATGTTTCATCCCAGGCCCACCAGATACCCTTTTGTACCAGCCGGTATAAGGGCCTCAGAATTTGTGCCAAGTGTGGGGTAAACACTCTCAAGTAGCCCAGAAGACCCAAAAACTCTTATAAGACTGCCACAGTGGTAGGGGTAGGGAAAGCCTGGACCTTGTCTATGACTGCTTCTGGGATGACTTTAGTTTTACCTGACCAGACAACCCCCAAGAATTTTACAGATAAACCAGGTCCCTGAACCTTGGTGCTGTTCACAGCCCATCCTTTCTCCTATAGATGTTGCAGCAGTCTAGGAGCTGCCCCTTCTAAATCTGCAAGAGAATCAGACATGAGCATAATGTCATTGATACGCTACAGCCACACCATTTGTGGTTTCTCCCATGTGGCCAAGTCCTGGGCTACAAGTCTGTGACAAATGGTGGCACTATGGAGGTATCTCTGTGGAAGGATAGTGAATGTCCACTGCCAGCCTTTCCAGGTGAAGGCGACTGTCCTGACTTCCTGTGCTATGTCAATAGAGAAGAAAGCATTAGCAAGGTCCACAACATAATGATACGTCCCTAGCTCATGACTGAGTGTGTCCATAAGGGCTTCTATAGAGGGGACAGCAGCATGCAAAGAGGGTATGATTTTATTCATTTCCCTTTAGTTGATGGTCACATGCCAGGAGCCATCTGGCTTTTTCATTGGCCACACTGGGGAATTAAAAGGACTGTGAGTGGGCTTTATGATGCTCACCTTCTGTGTCTGTAGAGTTTCTCCAATTTCTTTGTGCCCCCTTGGCAATTTATATTGCTTAGTATTTATCACCCACCAAGGTACAAGCAGAGCTTCAGGCGGGTGCTTAGCATGTCCCCTCAGAACTTCCTTTACTATAGTACCCCTGCCTTTATCAAATCAACCCACATCTGGGTCCTCAAAACCTTCACAGGGCCCTTTGCTCCTCTTCTTTCAGTCGTATTCTGTACTTCCTTCTGTGCTCTTATTGTTTCAACCTCCTCCAGATCTGCTAAAGTACGAGTAGCCTCAGTTACAGGTTCCTGTTTGTGGGGAGCAAGAATAGTCACTAGGGACCCAAAGAGAGATGGGGTCCTGTGTGGAGCACCAGATTTCTCATTCCTATGGTGAACAACTCCTCAGCGGGCCCCGAGGGTCCATATTATAGATGATATTTCTCATGCCCAGCTCCTGTAAAACCTTCTGGAGCTCTGCATACGTTTCCAACTACTGGGTAAGTATGGTAAATCACCCTGATTAGGCCATATTGCCCTAAGGGCTGCTGTCAGCCACTCCAGAAGTGCATGATTCCCTGGGGTGTGATGGGCATTTTACATCCTCTGTCGGAGGGAGGGGTGAGTCATCAGGAAACCCAGTTTACCCATTTCTGACCCAGACAGAATAATGCCCTCTACTCTTGAATCTCAAAGATACAAAAGCCACTTCTGTTGAAACCAGGTGCTCAAATTCACCAGCCTATCCTGGGTATAGGGGTGGAGCATGGAGTGCTCCACAGTTTGGAGAGGGGACTGTTCCCCTCCCTGAGGAACCTGTGGTTGTTGCATTTTTATTTTCTTAATCACACCCAGGTGGGCCTTTAATACAGGAGGGGCTAGTGCCTTGGGCAGTAGCCTCAGCCATAGTTATTCCCTCAACCCCACCCTCTCCTCCTCCCCTGGCTCCTCCTCTTCCATCTCCAGGGCTGAAGGCACCATCCCTTCTTTCTCCCCCTCACACCCTTGTGCAGCTCAGATTTTCCTGCTGCCTCTTCCCTGCTGCTAGCATGTCTCTCCGCAGCGTGATCTCAGTTCTCAGGAGCTGTCTTTACTTTCACAGAGCATCCCATGAGTCCTCTCCCAGTTTATCCAAGCAACGGTGAAGTGCGTCTCTGTCCTTGGTAACCCTTTCCGATGCCATGAGAAACAACCACCCCACAATTCCTGCTGCCCCATGGCCTCTCAGGCCCCCTAAGCAGTCCCCTTTTTCACAGAGGGCTAATTTCACAGCCTCTGGTGTCAGCACCCTTCCCCAATTCTGGGGAGGGGCCCACTCCTCTAGAAGCACTTTAACCCAGACCAGATCCGCATGGGGAATCCCTGGGTGAATGCTCACCATCCACAGGGTTGTTCCCAGGCATCACCCCACCACCTTTAAGGGCAGTCCGCCCAAACATCGCACCCATGGAGACAGATTTTGCATTCAGCAATCCTAGCTCCAGGTGGAAGCGGTGCTTGCTGCCTGGGACAAATAAACCGGTGTGACTGAAATCAGTGAAGGGAAAGGATAGATTGGGAGAAGCCCTTTTATTGCTCACAATGAGGCCTGGCTCCGTCTGTCCCCTCTGGTCACCGCTCTCGATCTGCCTCCGTGTCACGCTGTCTCCTTTCCCCCTGGCCCCTGCTAGCCAAAGGCCACTTGGTGCTCCCCGTCTCTGCTGCCACAGTGCATGCCCACTTCCCCACCCACCCCTTCTGGGAAAAATTCCACGGGCAGGTCCCTGGCAAACTACTGATAGTCACAGACCAGTTACACAGCAGAGGGGAGGAGACAACAGCCCCTCTCTACCCCTTGCCCCGGAGGCTGTGAGAAGCTGCAGCAGTACATGTAAGGGCTAAGGCTAGGCAAGAGATTCTGGGAATATTCAAGAGAACTTTGTGAATTCAGTTTGATTTTGTTGTGAGGTCCAAAGTTGATTTAAGAAATGCCCCGTCCTTTTCCAGGGTTTTAGTCTGATGATACAGATGCTCACACAAACTGGTAACCAGTGTAGTGGGGTGCTTGCTAGACCAGGGGTAAAAAAAACAAAAGAGGGGAGCTTTTAGGGCAGACAGAGGTAAAGTAAAACTTCAGAGCAGGCTTTTTGGAGAGAACACCTATGCAGTCTTAAACGGTGATCAGGAAGGAGGTAATTGGACAAAGATTCCAGAGAAATTGCTTCAGGCAGAGGAAAAGCTTCTTGTCTGTTCAGAGTTCAGGCTGTTTGCCGCCTGAATGCAAAGCTGCAGGAAGAGTGTTGAGAACCAAGAGTAATTAAAGCTTAACACTTACAGAGCATTTACTGAGTTCTGGACACAGTTCTAAATGCTGTGCTGACTTTATTTATTAACTTAATCTCCATGAGGATGGGTCTACTAGCATGGACAGTCTAAGTAACTTACACACGGTCAGTGATGGAGCAGATTCTGAGCCCAGGCTAACAGGCTCTAAAGTCCTTGCCTTTAACCATTGCACCCAACAGCCTGTCAGGGTGAAGAGAAGTAAAGTCACCAGCGTGCCACAATTGGAACATGGTGCACTAACAGAAAGTTGTCAGTGGGTAGCTACTGAAAAGATTTGAGCAAAGGAGAGTAGAGCCCAGTTACACAGGAGAAGGACTGCAGTTAGGGTGGGGTGGTCAGTGAGACTGCAGGTGGAGTCCAGTGGGAAGCTGACGGAACAGTTACCTGGAATTGCTCAGATCCTGAACTAGCACAGCTATGGAAATGAAGAGAGAATTAGATGAAAAATTGGTTAAGCTGATAAATTTCCTGTTAAACATGAGAAGTAGGGGGATTAGTTTAGCTTTGATTTCTTACTTGGATGTAATCTATCACCCAAGTAGACGATATTACTTGTAATAGGTATCCCTCTCCTGTAGTTGTCAGCTGGCTGTTATTTATATGGTAAATATATTAAAATGGCACCTAGTTGAGAGTACTGTAAGTATATTGTGATTTACAGTTTTTTAGAGTCAGAGGGCTGCTTGTTGCTATGCTGAATCAGAGTTGGGCGGGAGAGTGAATCTGTGCCTCCACTACCTGCTTAGAGTCCCAAAAAGTGTGTCAGTTGGGTGGGAGTGGGGGAGATGCCGTATGCAGATTGTTAGATCTATTTCCCTTATGGGCAAAACACAAGAAGAAGCTATTATAATCTGGGCTTAGCTGACCAGCCGGATCTAAACAACAGCCCAGAGGTGAGAGTATCTGTCTGTGCCGTTTCCTGGTCACACACAACGTTTCAGTCGCCTGCACTAGCCATTGTGCATCATGGCTTTAGTTAGTTAGCAGCTTAGGAGACCTTTTGATTGTGAAGTGGTGCTTATTTGCTTCTTTGTCTTTATTTTTAGGTACAAGTATATCTCAAAAAGTTCTAGGGACAGCCGAAGAAATGAGTGTCAAGAAACACACAGAAGATACTCTCTCTGTGGCAGCGTCCGTGCATTCTAGTCCTCCCGCATCTCCTCAAGGCTCCCCTCGCAAAGGTAAGGCGGGACAGTTCAAGCTGATTCTTGTCACACTAAACACCACTTTGTTACATGTATTTTCCTTTTCAATCTATAGTAATAAACTGAAGAAAGGTGTAACTCTAATACTTTTTGAACTTTCATGTTTTGGATTTAATTATTCAGATGCTTTCCAGCTATTCTGCAGGACTCCTGTATTCAAAGTGTGATCCTTCTTAACAGAGGACAAACTCAGATAAGAGTGAAGGCAGAAGTTATGTTGTTCTCTGCAGATTCTTTTAATTCAAATTTTCAATTATTTAAACATTTCTATGGAGTATTTGCCAAAAAAGAATTTCTACAAGAAATTGTTTTTAACCAACTGTAAGATTTAGGTAAAGAAACAAGTATTTAGATGAACACATTCCTTTCTTTATTAATGGAGTATTATTACCTTTTGAGTAATCAGGGTTTGGAATAATGTATACCCTTACGGATTTCTGCATTTATCCTTATAGAGAAATCCTCGAGATAAAGCATGTGAAGTCACTGTTCACTGACTTGCGCTCTGCCCGACTATCCTGGGCTGGGTGCTGCCAGACGCTGTCTCGTGTCAGCTGTGCGTGCAGCAGGGTGTGTGTTTCTTACCTTGGCCCCCCACCCTCTGTGTATCCTGACAAAAAAGGCTCCTAGGTCCTGGCATCATCTTCACAGATGTAAACAAATTAACCTCTTTAAATAAACACACTGAAGGACAGTACATGGTCAGAGGGAAGCTTATGAATTCTAGCAGGAAGTAGAAGCTTCCAGAGCTTTCCTGAGAACCTATGTTCTAAGTTTCATCTCATGTGTGAGACCCCTTTCTTATTTTTGCCACCAGTGTGTTGATGATGTGGTACAGTGGCATCCAGCCTGAGTTTGAATCCTCACTCTCCCCTATAGCTGTGTTACTATGAGCAACTGATTTATACGGTTAGGTTTCTTGTCCACAAGATGGGAAAAAGACCATCTACTTTAGGGGACTCATTTAAGGATTAAATGGAATAATATTTATAAACCTGATACATGGTAAGTGTGGAGTAAATTAAAGTTTCTCTTCTCTTTCCCTGCTGCCACCCCAGGCAACATAGCTCCATTACTGACCTGCTGTTCCCCTGTCAAAGAGCTGAGCCTGGCTAGGATTTTCATTCCATTGTAATTAAGAGAAGCCTAGTACAAATCAAATTGGACATTTAAACAGTATATATACTTGTGATTTTTTTTGTTTTTATAAAACCTAGGTTGCTGATACTGTGGTACATAGCTCATACATGATTTTGTGAGGCACTGAGGTCTCTTTCATCTCTTTACTGTCTGTGTGGTCTGCTCCAAAGTGCTCTTTACAGTTGTCGAGGCGTAGGACTGGGAGCAGTGCCCAGTCACACAGATGGGCCTGATGAACAGCACCCACAGGCCTATAATGCTCTTTCACACCCTCTGCCTGTTCTGGAGGCTTTTCCAATGTCCCATTAGAGACTGTTCTCTAATGGGAAACTAGGTGAATTGGGTTTGGTGTTTTATGCCTGAATGTGACTTATGGGAAGAGGTATTAGGAACAGGAATTACCCCCTTGCTCTTACTCCCAATAGAAAATCCACTTCACCACTGCAACAGAGAAGTCTTTTCTCTATTGGGTCTTTCAGTGTGTGGCCAGTAACCAACCACAATCTTTATAGATTGTGAACCTGTCAGTCATGCTTTGAATCCTTAGAAATCTTCAAAACTATTCCCAATTGTTCTTACCTGTGTTCTGTCAAACCCCAGCTGAGTATTGTATTTTTGTTTATTTTTGTGGACACGTTTCTGCCAGTCACGTGTGACTGAACAAAAATGTCATTAAGAGTACATTAAGATCTGTTCCCAGTTCGTGCTAAATTTTGGAATTCTCTATTTTCTAGCAATTACAAAAGTAATCATGTTTTTCACAGGGAGAATCTCAAGTAAGAACTTTTCAAACATGTTGGCTCCAAAGCAAGTTCTTCCTGCTTTCCACTGGTATACGTCACTGGCCCCAATAAGCGTTGGAGTTCACCACTTAAGGGGCTAGTGGAGAGGGTGCTGTGGTTCTGTAAGCACCCCATTTGGCCAGTGTAGACATCTGTACCACACCACTCCATGACCTTTGGGTCCAGTCTCGCACACACCCCACAATGGGACAGGTGGTTGGTTATTACCTTGGTCAGAGTTGTTCCAGTGATGGGCTCTTCAGCCAGCAAGATATGGTATACAGCAGCCAGTGGCTTCTCTGTCAAGGTATAGCAGACCTCTGCTCCTTTCCACAGTTGCAACCAGATTCTGATATATGGGCCGGTCCGTTCAAGCTGCTACCAAAGGCCCCATTCATAGCCATTTTGGTTACATGAGCATCTAGCTCACAGGGCCTCAATGGGCCCACTATGCTCAAGACTTGCACAGCCTTGACTTCTCACTCATCAGCAGTAAAGGCAAATATATGCACATGTTTCATCCCAGGCCCACCAGATACCCTTTTGTACCAGCCGGTATAAGGGCCTCAGAATTTGTGCCAAGTGTGGGGTAAACACTCTCAAGTAGCCCAGAAGACCCAAAAACTCTTATAAGACTGCCACAGTGGTAGGGGTAGGGAAAGCCTGGACCTTGTCTATGACTGCTTCTGGGATGACTTTAGTTTTACCTGACCAGACAACCCCCAAGAATTTTACAGATAAACCAGGTCCCTGAACCTTGGTGCTGTTCACAGCCCATCCTTTCTCCTATAGATGTTGCAGCAGTCTAGGAGCTGCCCCTTCTAAATCTGCAAGAGAATCAGACATGAGCATAATGTCATTGATACGCTACAGCCACACCATTTGTGGTTTCTCCCATGTGGCCAAGTCCTGGGCTACAAGTCTGTGACAAATGGTGGCACTATGGAGGTATCTCTGTGGAAGGATAGTGAATGTCCACTGCCAGCCTTTCCAGGTGAAGGCGACTGTCCTGACTTCCTGTGCTATGTCAATAGAGAAGAAAGCATTAGCAAGGTCCACAACATAATGATACGTCCCTAGCTCATGACTGAGTGTGTCCATAAGGGCTTCTATAGAGGGGACAGCAGCATGCAAAGAGGGTATGATTTTATTCATTTCCCTTTAGTTGATGGTCACATGCCAGGAGCCATCTGGCTTTTTCATTGGCCACACTGGGGAATTAAAAGGACTGTGAGTGGGCTTTATGATGCTCACCTTCTGTGTCTGTAGAGTTTCTCCAATTTCTTTGTGCCCCCTTGGCAATTTATATTGCTTAGTATTTATCACCCACCAAGGTACAAGCAGAGCTTCAGGCGGGTGCTTAGCATGTCCCCTCAGAACTTCCTTTACTATAGTACCCCTGCCTTTATCAAATCAACCCACATCTGGGTCCTCAAAACCTTCACAGGGCCCTTTGCTCCTCTTCTTTCAGTCGTATTCTGTACTTCCTTCTGTGCTCTTATTGTTTCAACCTCCTCCAGATCTGCTAAAGTACGAGTAGCCTCAGTTACAGGTTCCTGTTTGTGGGGAGCAAGAATAGTCACTAGGGACCCAAAGAGAGATGGGGTCCTGTGTGGAGCACCAGATTTCTCATTCCTATGGTGAACAACTCCTCAGCGGGCCCCGAGGGTCCATATTATAGATGATATTTCTCATGCCCAGCTCCTGTAAAACCTTCTGGAGCTCTGCATACGTTTCCAACTACTGGGTAAGTATGGTAAATCACCCTGATTAGGCCATATTGCCCTAAGGGCTGCTGTCAGCCACTCCAGAAGTGCATGATTCCCTGGGGTGTGATGGGCATTTTACATCCTCTGTCGGAGGGAGGGGTGAGTCATCAGGAAACCCAGTTTACCCATTTCTGACCCAGACAGAATAATGCCCTCTACTCTTGAATCTCAAAGATACAAAAGCCACTTCTGTTGAAACCAGGTGCTCAAATTCACCAGCCTATCCTGGGTATAGGGGTGGAGCATGGAGTGCTCCACAGTTTGGAGAGGGGACTGTTCCCCTCCCTGAGGAACCTGTGGTTGTTGCATTTTTATTTTCTTAATCACACCCAGGTGGGCCTTTAATACAGGAGGGGCTAGTGCCTTGGGCAGTAGCCTCAGCCATAGTTATTCCCTCAACCCCACCCTCTCCTCCTCCCCTGGCTCCTCCTCTTCCATCTCCAGGGCTGAAGGCACCATCCCTTCTTTCTCCCCCTCACACCCTTGTGCAGCTCAGATTTTCCTGCTGCCTCTTCCCTGCTGCTAGCATGTCTCTCCGCAGCGTGATCTCAGTTCTCAGGAGCTGTCTTTACTTTCACAGAGCATCCCATGAGTCCTCTCCCAGTTTATCCAAGCAACGGTGAAGTGCGTCTCTGTCCTTGGTAACCCTTTCCGATGCCATGAGAAACAACCACCCCACAATTCCTGCTGCCCCATGGCCTCTCAGGCCCCCTAAGCAGTCCCCTTTTTCACAGAGGGCTAATTTCACAGCCTCTGGTGTCAGCACCCTTCCCCAATTCTGGGGAGGGGCCCACTCCTCTAGAAGCACTTTAACCCAGACCAGATCCGCATGGGGAATCCCTGGGTGAATGCTCACCATCCACAGGGTTGTTCCCAGGCATCACCCCACCACCTTTAAGGGCAGTCCGCCCAAACATCGCACCCATGGAGACAGATTTTGCATTCAGCAATCCTAGCTCCAGGTGGAAGCGGTGCTTGCTGCCTGGGACAAATAAACCGGTGTGACTGAAATCAGTGAAGGGAAAGGATAGATTGGGAGAAGCCCTTTTATTGCTCACAATGAGGCCTGGCTCCGTCTGTCCCCTCTGGTCACCGCTCTCGATCTGCCTCCGTGTCACGCTGTCTCCTTTCCCCCTGGCCCCTGCTAGCCAAAGGCCACTTGGTGCTCCCCGTCTCTGCTGCCACAGTGCATGCCCACTTCCCCACCCACCCCTTCTGGGAAAAATTCCACGGGCAGGTCCCTGGCAAACTACTGATAGTCACAGACCAGTTACACAGCAGAGGG